GCCAGGACACGGTGTCCATCCACAGTCACCCGTGGGGGACACAGGCGTGGCACGGTCACCCGTGGGGGACAGCCGGGCCCCTGGCACACGCCAGCCCCTCAGCAGGCTGTGCAGGGCAGACCATGCCAGGGCCCCTCTCAGTGTCCCTGGGGGTCACAGTGTCACTGTGGCTGTGTCACAGCCCTCTCAGTGTCCCTGGGGGTCACAGTGTCACTGTGGCTGTGTCACAGCCCTTTCCTGTGTCCCTGGGGGTCACAGTGTCACTGTGGCTGTGTCACAGCCCTCACAGCGTCCCTGGGGGTCACAGTGTCACTGTGGCTGTGTCACAGCCCTCACAGTGTCCCCAGGAGTGGACAGTGGCCCAGTGGCTGCATTATGTGCCACTGTCCCTCCTGGTATCTCTGTGTTGGGGACTGGCCGGTGTCCGTGCTGGGATCCCTCCTGGTGTCCCTGGCATCGGGGAGTGGCTGCTGGCCACAGTGGCCATGGTGGCCACAGTGCAGTGGCTATGCTGGAGTCCCTCCTCATGTCCCTGCGGCTTGGAGGCTGGCCAGTGTCCTGAGTGTGGTGGCCAGCGGCTGTGGTGGCTACAGTGTGGTGGCCTCCTGGTCTCCCTAGGGTTGCCTGGTGGCCACAGTGTGGTGGCCATGCCACAGTCCCTCCCGGTGTCCCCAGGGCTGCCTGGTGGCCACAGTGTGGTGGCCATGCCACAGTCTCTCCCGGTGTCCCCAGGGCTGGCTGGTGGCCACAGTGTGGTGGCCATGCCACAGTCCCTCCCGGTGTCCCCAGGGCTGGCCAGTGGCTGCAGTGGCCATTCCTGGCTGATTTGGGGCTGGTGTGGCCACCCGGAGCTGAGGCTGAGTCCTGGCACCACCGGCTGGCACCGTGCCAGGGGCTCCCCCCCACCCCCGGACGGGGGTCCCGGTGCCAGCGGGGGCAGCTGGGGGCTCCCCTGCCCCCCTCAGGGACAGACACCCCCCCAGCAGTGCTGGCAGGACTGGGGGACCCCGGGGACGGGCCCCACCCGGGGGGAGCTGGGCTGAGCGAGTTTTGGGGGGCTGGGCGTGGGGGGCTGG